ACTAATTCAAAATCATAAAAATAATAAATAACATATTGAAAAACTGAAATATTAAATTAATGGTCCAGTATATTTTAACATATTCATATAGTAAGGTATATTATTTATTTATTATAATTAAATATATAAGAAATAGTAAAAAGTACTTCAAAAATTTTGTAGTTATAAATATAATAATATAATATAATGTAATATAATAATCGACTCTCATTTTAATACTTTATCTGTTCTATTTTGTTTACATGGTTTGATAAAACATGCATATTAAGAAATTAGTCAATAAAATTTATTTTGACTCATGGTTTGATAAAACATGCATATTAAGAAATTAGTCAATAAAATTTATTTTGACTCTTTTTACCCTTAACTCATTAAGATATTAATAAAAGACATTCATTAATAAACAATTATAAATATTATTATGAAAAAAAATATTGTTTAAATATATGAATTTAAAAATTTTATAAATGTTTTGGACATACACAAAAAAAATAATAAATAAACAAAATAGAAAAGAATGAGTATTTGATACGCTTGCCACGTGCCCTAAATTAGTGACGAGTTAAAGAAGTCTTTGTCCAACGATAAAACGGTTGTTATTAACTCTGCTACGACATTGACTTAGTTGAAGAACTGAAAAGATGAATCATTCAATGAATTGGTAGGTCAATTGTTTAATTGATTGGTAATAAAAATAGTAATAATATATATTAATTAAATAGTTAAATTGTAAATAATTATAATATAATAAAAAATAATTAGAAATATCAAAATATCAGTTTGAGTCAACTAGATTTATGCGGATTGATCGGTTTAGCTATAAGTTACCAAATTCAATCCGATTCTGTTGATTAAATGACATAAAACCAAGATCGGTTGATTTTTAAATTTGGTTTAACGTTTCTCTTGATTGACTCAACAGAACGGACAAGTTTAACGACTATAGATAAAACTAGATATATTTTAGAGAGGAATTATGAATTTTGATTTAGTCCCTTTATTTTTTAAATTTATGTTTTTAAATATTGAAAAGAGTTTTTTTTTTTTTTTTTAAAAAAAATTAGACTTGTCTTTATCACAAGGATAAAGCACAATTATCTTATTTGTTATATATTTTACTAAACATAGTTCATTTTTATCCTCTATTTTTTTATTCATTTGTGATAGAGAGTCTCTCACTCCCACATAATTATTTAAGTTTAAAATTTATTGCCATATTTTAATAATTAAGAAGAAAAAAAAATTAAGTCAATTTCTTTAAATTCCAAAATGTCCATGATTAATAATGGATCCTTCCAAGTTTGTCAATTCAACGGTAAACTCCGCGTTGTTTACCTGATTTCATCTTTACAAATTAATATAATTATTAATATTATTTTTAAAAATAATATGAATAAAAAAAATATTACTTAAATGAAAAGAAAATGATAGTTAATTGGTATGATTATTGATAGACAATTGGACTTGGAAGTCTACTCCAAAGACCTTACGAAGTCTTTCCCTCCTAGGTAAGCGACAGATGAGGCTTTTGTCACTTTGTATTTGTATATCATAGCAGGTCATTTTCTTCCATTCGTACGCCCTCACTCGGTTACATAATTTTTATCCTATTTTCCTTTTAATGTATCTCAGATTATTGTTATAATTTTATTTTATGAGTAAATAATATTTAAAATTTATTATTTTATTCATCATTTAACCTGCTATTTTAGAAATACTATCTCTATTTCAAAATATAAATTATTTAAAATTTTTACACTAGAATTAAGAAAATAGTTAATTCTCCTAAAGTAAAAAAATCAAGGGTAATTATCATTTATTTAAAAACTAAAAATAACTTATGAAAGTAGTTATTATATCCTATATAAATAAGGGTAATATTGAAATAAAGTTATTTATTACTCCTTAAATTTTTCAAAACGGTTTATATTTTAAGATAAAATAATCACTTAAAAAAGATTTATATTTTGGGACGAAAATTGTATATAATAAGATGAGATTGAGATTATGAGAAGTTGATTATGAATTGCTGACTAATCTAAACCTCAATGCTAATTAAATAAGCTAGATGCTAATTTTTCTTTTTGATATGAAAGCTAGATGCTATTAGATAATCTTAACCTAAACGCTAAAATGTGTATTTAAAATAACATATTACTTACTTACGGGTTGTAACTCAATTTGCATCACAGGTTGAGTATGTGGAAAGAGTTTTCGGGTTCTATTCCACTAAACACACATGCATGGAGGGGCGAAGAGTTTTAAATGTTACTAAGCCCCGAGACGGATTAGGCGGTCCCTGATAATAGGGTCGGATACCGGTGACTTACACTAAAAAAATATATCATATCACTTAAATGAAAAATAATATATTTATAAAAAATAAAATAAATCAATTATATATTATGTAAAAATATCAAGGAAATCAACCCCTAAGTAACTATTGAATTGTAAAAAAATTGTATGACATAAAACAAAATAATCAAATTGAAAATTTCAACTATTTACTTTCAAATTATATCTGTGAAAAAATTTAATAAAATTTAAATTAAACATTGAATTTGTCAATCATTTTCTAATAAATTTTTAAAGATTTTATTCTATTTGCATCTTAAGTAATAAATTTTTATTTTTTATTTATTGAGAGGCCTAACAGGTTAAAAGAATATTACTGTTACACAATAGAGGTAGCAGTCTCATTTGCTCACTAAAGTAGTGAATTGAACACAAAACCTCTAACTCTCTAAATTATCTTATTTTATTGAAAAAATTTTCAAAATGATAAATTGGAATTTAATTGTTGTTGTCATCAACATTGATTTGGGATAAAGTTTATAATCAAAATACAAGAGTTAGGCAAAACTTCTTTTTCTTGAATTAATTTTTAAAAGATGAATTAGGTCCGTACATTTCATTAACGTGCGTTTGCTGCCAAATGGTATGAGAGAGGTGTGCAACAAAGAGGTGTGTTATCTCAGAAAGGGATGGGAAAAAGTATTTAGTTAGCTTTTAAGCCCTTAATTTATTACAATAAAATACCAATATGATAAATTATAAAATTTGAAATAATTCGAACAATTGAGAATCTGTAACTATTATTTTATAGATTACAATATTATTTCCTCGCAATTTCCTGGAATGCTTAGTACTTGTCAGTGTTGTCGCTGCTTTTCTTTGTTATGATGTTTTCTGGTTGCATTTTCGTGGGCAATTGTTGACCAGGAAGATGGTCCCCTTAGGTCCAGCATGACATGACTGAAATTAGGGGCATAAAATATGAAATGGAATCATCATGGTTTGAAATATTTTAGGATTCAAAATTTCATTTCTTCTCCTTTTAAATATATTTTTTGAAATATAAAATTTCATTTTATACCGTTCGGTGAAAATTCGGATTGAAATTCGGTAATTCTAAATTCTCAAAGTATAGTCTATTATGCCATATTTTAAGATATAAATTTCCAAATCTAAAAAGACATAATTAATATATTTATTTCAAATTAAATATAAATACTAAAAAATATAATTATTAATTAAATAGCAATGAAACCAACAAAGTAGTATTTCATCCAATTAAAAAATTAATGTCGTTGATGAGGAATGAGGACATACTTTCACTTAACAACTATTCATTAAACTATATTGTGTTAAAGTTGGTCATTAAAAAAAGAAAGATGCTAATTGTAAGTTGACTTCATTTTCTTTTTTGACTCTTGAATTTTCAAGCTAAAAATTAATTACTAGTAAATGATTTCATTAAACTATATAGTTTTAGAATATAGGAGATTTTTAAATATTAAAAATATTTTATTCAGGTATTTTTTTTTATTATTAAAATATATAATTAAAATCTAAAAAAAATTCAGTATATGGATTGAAATATAAAATTTTCTAGTATAATGTTTCATTCCATATTCCATATATCAATATTTTAAAAAATACATTTCACTTTAAATTTCATATTTCAAAATTCTATTCCAAATTGAAATTCAATTTGAAATTTGGATTGGTATCTTTCAAACCAATTTACAACCTTAACTAAAATTTTATTTATTTATTTATTTATTATGATCATTTAGCCCTACCAAAGAAGGAAAAAAAAAAAAAAAAAAAAGCTTTTTTAACACAAAACCTTAACAAAATTTTATTTATTTATTTATTTATTATGACACCTTTAGCCCTACCAAAGAAGGAAAAAAAAAAAAAAAAAACAGCTTTGCATAAAATTATAGCGAAACAACAAATAGAATTTTTATCATTTAAAACTAACTAATTTTATGGAAGAGAAATAGATAATAAATGTGTTTTTAAAAAAAAATTTTGGGTCCTTAAATTATAAAGCGAAACATAATTGCCTAAATGTGAGTGATATTTTTTTTTTTTTTTTTTTTTTTTTTTTTTTTACAGAATGACTTGCGTGTTAGTTTCACTAATCTTGCAATTAATTCTTAAAAATAGCATATGTGTTAGTTTTGCTATATATAATTTAGGGACTAATTTTTTTTTTTTATTCTAATCAATTGTATAGGAATATAGGTACCCAAAGATAGAGTTATCAAAATAATATTTAAGTGAATTATTTATTTAATCTCTATATTGAAGTGAAATATAAAATTAGAATTTATGCTTTTAAAAACTAATTTGTTGGTCTCTCAATTTTATATTCATGGAATGGACTAATTCATGTATTATATTTTCTATTAAATAGACTTTAAAGAATCAATTCACTAGTTTTCTTTTTATCAAAGTTTTGCAATAAATACTTACTGAAATATATATCTCAAAACCTGCAGTCAAATAACAAACTAAAAAATGATTGACAATGGTATCAAGCTCAACTCCAAAACCTTTTCTCCCAACGGGACAGTTCATCACCACTATCCAATGGCTCAAGCTGTTAGAATTAATCTCAAATAATTCAATAATAACCTAGATCGTGCAAACCACTAGATTCAACAAAATAGATTGAATAAGAAAAGGTTGCGTGAATAAGAAAAGGTTGCGTACCTGACATCGTTGTTCGTCGATCTTGATGTATAGAATTAGGTTTGCAGCCTTCCCAGAGGAACTGAAGAATCGATTTTGCGGAGAGCATACGAAAGGAACGTAAAACTGAATGTATTACAACTCCCTCTGGGGACCAACGACCTTTATACCCTGTAGGGTTAGTACGTTAGTACAATTCCTATTTCGGTCCTTTAAAGAAATAGGAATTATATAATGGTCTCTACACTTAATATCTATAATTAGTTGATACCTCAATAGTCAATTATTCACAATCAAGACCGCATTTAAAATTGACTTTATAATTAGACTGCTGTACATATTTAATTTTACATATTAAGCCCACAATAGAAAATTAAATCCAACAATCTCCCACTTGGGCGACATTATGTTAAATAAAATACATACACCAAAATGAGCTCAACAAACGCAGTCATACAAGGTATCCAAAAACAATCTCGTCCATTAATTATATTGATAAAGAACTGAAGAAACATTCGCCATAGATCTCATGACTTAAGTTCATCATCAACTACCTTACCAATACCCCTAAATGACACAGATTCATTATAGAAGTGTAGGATGAAAACTAAATGTAATGTGATCATCATGTTTGTTTCCAACTGGTCACCAACAAAAGTGAGATCAAGCAAAACAATAATAATACAGAGTGTAACCAACAATAATAATAATACAGAGTGTAACCATCAACCAAAATGAGTACTCAACAAAATTTCATGATAAAACATATCCAAAACAAAATAGAGCATTCAAAACCATAATGTATACATAAAGAGCAGACTCCCACTAAAACTAGACAGTCTCAAACAAAACGATACCCATATGAGCGGTGTGCTCATGGAAAACTTTAAAACTTTCGGTATCACTGCCTTTGTAAGCGGATCCGCAATCATAGAGTTTGTTCCAATATGCTCTAAGGATATCTGTCCACTCTGTACCCTCTCCTTCGTAGCCAAGAACTTAATGTCAATGTGTTTTGATCGAGAAGAGGAGAAGAGCTCCTGTTGTTGTTGGAGAATAAAACGGCTGACCTGCTGTCACAATACAACTTCAGTGGTCTTTCTATTCCACCTACTACACGCAGCCCATTGACAAGGTTTCTCAGCCAAATAGCTTGATTGGATGCCTTATAAGATGCTACAAATTCAGCTTCCATGGTAGAGGTTGCTACTAGAGTTTGTTTCACACTCTTCCAAGAAATAGCACCGCCAGCCAATAGAAAACGTAGCCAGATGTGGATTTTCTACTGTCTTGGCATCCAACGAATCCAGCGAAATCAGAATCAGTATACCCAATGATCTCAAGCTGATCTGATCTCCTATATGTGAGCATATGTCCCTTAGTCCTCTGAAGATATCTCATGGCTCTTTTGGCTGCTTTCCAATGATCCATTCCTAGATTGCTGAGATATCTACCTAACATGCCAACTATAAAAGAAATGTCTGGACGAGTACAAACTTTAACATACATAAGACTTCCTATAGCTGACGTATAAGGAACCTTTTGCATTTCCTAAATTTCAAGTTCACTCTTTGGACATTGTTGATTACTAAATTTATCACCTTTTGCAATAGGGGTATCCAATGGTCTTGCCCATTACTAAATCTTCTGTGAGCACTTATCAATATAGCTCTTTTTGTGAATTAATCCAAAAGAATACCTCAGAGAAACGGTCTCGATGTATCTGAATCCCCTAAAACAAAGAAGCTTCACCTAAATCTTTCATCTCAAAATGCTTTGAAAGGAAAAACTTTGGTTTTCATATTAGCAAGACTTTACAATTAGTAGCAAAGAAAGTATGTCATTCCACATATAAGGACCAAAGATAAACCTACTCCCACTGAACTTAGGTACCACACATTTTACAACAGTATTTTGCCTCAAAGATTTGCCTCAAAGCCAAACGAGACAATTACTTAGTTGAACTTAAAGTACCATTGACGAGAAGCTCGCTTGAGTCCATAAATGGATTTCTTTAATTTGCATACCAGATGTTTTGGATCTCCAATTACAAAATTTTCTGGTTGCACCATATATATTGTTTCATCAATGTTGCCATTGAGAAACGTAGTCTTAACATCTATTTGATGAAGCTCAAGATCAAGATTTGCAACTAAGTCCATGATTGTCCTAAAAGAATCCTTCGAAGAAACTGGAGAGAAGGTTTCTTTATAGTCAGTCCCTTCCTTTTGAGTAAAGCCTTTTGCTACAAGACGTGCGTTATATCTTTCCACATTACCTTGAGAATCCCTTTTGGTTTTAAATATCCATTTGCAACCAAATTTGCAACCAATGGGTTTCTTTCCTTCAGGTAATTGAACAAGATCCCAAACTTGATTGTCTTGCATAGACTTATACTCTTCGTTCATTGCCTCAATTCACTTATGAGAGTCAGAACTCTGCATAGCATGATAAAAACTAACTGGATCATCATCTATCATGTCTACAGTATCCTCATGTTCCTGAAGAAACACTATATAATCATCTGGAATAGCACTTCTTCTCTCCTTCACTTCTTCTCTCCCTAGTAGATCTCCTCAAAGGCATTTGAACAGACTCTAATTCTTGAGGTTGTTGAATTTGTTCTTAAGGAAGAATAGCATTGTCTGGAATTGGATCTTGAATAGTGACAGGAGCAACTGGAGTCTGTACGCTATCAGAAACAACAAAAGGAATGAGAACCGAATCATCCTTACTTGGTTCCTCTTTAAAGACAATGTTTCTTTCTTTATTTCTCCCTCCAAAATCAACATCCTCAAAAAATGTTGCAATTCTCGTTTCAAAAAAAAGTTCTGGAAGTAGGATTATAAAAAACTTAGTAACCCCTAGGGACCGCTCAGAATATCCAACAAAGTAGCTGCTGATAGTTTTGGAGTCCAGGTTTGTTTCATTCGGCTTGTAAAGGCTTGCTTCAGCTGGACAATCCCCAAACATGAAGAATTGCTTTAGACTAGGCTTAACGTCCACGTCCCAAGTTATAAGGTGTTTTTAGCAACTGCTTAGATGGAATCGCTATTGAGAAGATAAGCTGCTGTCTTTAAACGCTTCACCCCCACAGGAGACTCTGGTAAAGTAGCAATGACTAAATCAACTCCTTACCATATCCATAAGAGCATAAGAGTCCTATTACGTCTCTCAGATACACCATTCATGCTGGGAGTACCAGGCATTGTATATTGAGGGACAATTCCACATTCCTGTAGGAAAAGCGAAAAGGTCCTGGACGTTGTTCGCCTGAACCGTCATATTTACCATAATATTCACGTCATATTTACCATAATATTCACCACCACGGTCAGATCGAACAGATTTAATCTTCTTTCCTAGTTGATTTTCAACTTCGGCTTTATAAGATTTAAACAGGTCCAAAGACTCAGATTTTTCATGAATGAGATATAAGTAACCATAACGAGAATAGTCATCAATGAATGATATTATCTTTGGCCATTTCTAGCTGCAATATGGAATGGACCGCAAATATCTGTATGAATCAGTTCTAAAACATTGGATGACCGAATGGCACCTAGTCTCTTCTGTTTAGTCTGTTTTCCTTTAATACACTCAATACAAGAATCCAAACCTGTGTAATCAAGTGTATCTAAGATACCATCAGAAACAAGACGCTCAATCCTTGATTTGGATACATGACCCAAACGTCTATGCCAAAGTACAACTGAGTTATCAATATTCAATTTTCTTTTCTTTCTTTTGGTACCTCTTGTAGTAACATGTAGGGATTCATGATAACTAGTATCAATGTCTAACATATATAGATTATCACATTCATTCAAGCAACCAGTACTCAAAACTTTTGAATTCATAGATAAAGTGAATTTTCTCTCACTCAAGTAAGTCCACTTATAATCCCATTCTACCCCAACCGGGTTTGGTTCAACTCGACTCGACTCGACTCGACTCTAAGACTCGACTCGGTAGGATGTCACAGTATCGTTTATAATTTATTTAAACATAATCTAAAATGTCCAATTGCCTCTACTTCAACCGGATCGCCATTTCCTACATAGACGTATCTTTCACCGTCAGTTGGCTTTCTGTAGTTGAGGCAGCCCTACAACGAAACACCTATATGAGCGGTAGCACCAGAATCCATCCAATAAGTGTTTTTAGGAGCTCTTCACAATTAATGGAGCGGTAGCACCTAGAATCCATCCAATAAGTGTTTTTAGGAGCTGAAGTTAAATTAACTTCACAACAGACTAAAACAGGTTATTAACAAGGTACTTACCCCTCTTTGCAAGCCAATTAGCAAATTTAGGACAGTCCTTTCTCAAGTGATCCGTCTTTCCACAAAAGAAGCATTTTGGCACATAAGGCTTCTTTTGTACTGGATCTACAGCAGTAGCAACAGCAGGTTTCTCAATAGCCTTTTCAACAGTCTTTGCAGAAGGCCTCTTTCTTTTCTTGTTCTTGCCCTTCTCAGCTGAAGAAACAAAATGAGCACTCTCTCTTTTGTTAGAATTCATCTTTTCCTCCTCCTCATCAACACAATGAGAAATGAGCTCGTTAAGAGTCCATTTATTCGGCTGACAATTATAGGAAGTCCTAATTTGTCCATACTGAGAAGGAAGAGAATTCATAACCAAATGGACTAAAAGGTCATCTGGTAAAGCCATACCCAGCACCTTCAGTCTCTTTGCAATCTGAGACATGCTAAGAATATGCTCCCGAGCACCACCATTGCCAGCAAACTTCATGGAGGTTAATTTTCCTAAAAGTGTTCTCACTTCGGCTTTGTCATTCTTGACATAAGCCCTCTCCAGCTCGGCAAGATAGTTTTGAGCATTGTTCTTTTCAGCTGAGACAGAGTCTCGAACTCTAAACATGTTCTGGGACCCCTCCTTTCTGCATGATCATCAGACCTAAAGCGATTAGGGAACGCCTCCCACTTCTCATACTGAACCCTTTATGGAACATCAGTGCTCGAAATATCAGTAAGAGGAGCAGGTTAAGAGGAGCAGGTTCGTCCATCCTGAATGCAAGATCCAAATCCATACAGCCCAGAAAGATCATAATGTCTGATTTCCAAGACTCAAAATTTGATCCCTTAAGTTTAGGGACACAATCAGGATTAAATGACATGTTAGCTGACATCAGAGAAAATAAACAAATAGATAAGTATAAGCTCACAATTCACAAATGAAACAATTCACATAAGTAGAGATAAAAATGGAAATAAGATACAGACTCAACATTAATATTCTCATCTTTGGATGTAAAATATTCACTTGTAATTAGTATCTCAACGCAGCAATCAAATATTGATAACATAGTCCTGACAAATAATAAATCTTCCTTTGGACCGATATATCATTGTCATGGAAAATAATCAAACAATTATCACATACTTATTGTTATCACTTACTTATTGCCAACATGTTATCAAAACTCAAGCCAGATTAGCAACCTTCCTTTGCGGCCGATTAAACTATCCGCCAAACGAATTTAATACACCTGTCTAATATTCTAAACAAATAAATCAATTCAAGCAAGTAGAGGTTCACTTTGGTGACTTATTTGATCACATCAATTTTTTTAATAAATTATTCAAACAGAATAGGGACTTAAATCACTTCCAAATTTTAATCTCAAGTCGGACAAAATTAATTTCATTAATTGATTGTAATTAAAACAAAACAATTGCAATTAAATGAATTGAATGTCTAAATATTTAATAATCTAAAATTATTTAGCCCAAATATATATATATATATAAGTCACTAAATTAGAGACTAAGTTATAAAATTGGACTAAATAAATAAAGTTCAATAGGACTAAATAAATTTGAATAAATAAAGTTCGGGGGTCTAATTTAATTAAATATATGTCCATGGGTCTAGACGAAAGAAAACAGAAAATTAGAGGCCTAATCAGAACAGGTTTTTTTTTTTTTTTTCTGCCGACTCTCTCCACCTTCAGTTCCTTCCTCTTTCCGCCGCCAACACCACCAGTTCCAACCGAAGACAAGCTCTGGTCGCCATTGGACGGTGAACGGCAGCCAAGGGAGTCAAAAAACGGTGTTGAAATCACAAATCCCTAAACTGCAATTTCAAAACGAATCCACCGGCAACAATGGAGGTTTTCAGGCGTTAAACCGACGGCAACCATGAAACCTATACTGTTTTTTTTTATTATTATTAAACAAGATCCGGCCAGCAAAAAAAAAATACGTATATTGAACCTCTTACCTGTTCTTGGAGAATCCGAAGAACAGTGAGAATAAATTTTTTTTTTTTTTAAACAAAACCCTCAATCCGTAAACAGTAGGGTAAATAAAAAAAAAATACGAAAATCAATCTAAAATCTAGCAATTATGCACAAGGCTCTGATACCACTTGTTATGAATTGATTTCAAATAATTCCACAATAACCTAGATCCTAGATCGTGCAAAACCACTAGATTCAACAAAATAAGATTGAATAAGAAAAGTTGCGTTACCTGACATCGTTGTTCGTCGATCTTGATGTATAGGAATTAGGATTGCAAATTAGGTTTGCAGCCTTCCAGAGAATTGAAGAATCGATTTAGCGGAAGCAGTACGAAAGGAACGTAAAACTGAATCGTATTCAACTCTTCTGGGGACCAGGACCTTTATATACCTGTAGGGTTAGTACAATTCCTATTTCAGTCCTTTAACGAAATAGAAATTATATAATGGTCTCTCCACTTAATATCTATAATTAGTTGACACCTCAATAGTCAATTATTCACAATCAAGACCACATTTGAAATTGACTTTACAATTGGACTGTTGTACATATTTAATTTTACATATTAAGCCCACAAAATTTTACATATTAAGCCCCACAATAGGAAAATTAAATCCAAACACAAAACTACACCACATTTGAAATTGACTTTACAATTGGACTGCTGTACATATTTAATTTTACATATTAAGCCCACAATAGAAAATTAAATCCAACACAAACTACACTTTCTAGAAGATCACAGTGAAAATTTTCATACAATCAGTTGACATTAATGTAAATGGTATTCTTAGAATGTCACAGCAAGTTGTCCACGGTATTCTTATTCTCCCGACCAAGTTGAGTATAATAGGGTTTCAACATGCATATTTTTAAAAGAAATTGGGACAAACTACAAGTCGCTTGTGATAGAAAAAACCAAGTGAAAGAATTCAAAGCTAATCTATTGGTTTATGATTATAAGATGTTTTTGTCATGAAAACAGCAGAAAAAATTTCAGAAATGGACATTTCTGTGATTCCCTCAGTGCACTTGGTAGAACATAGTATGCATTTTGGGTTATGCACATACATAGGCAAAAGCACATTCATGGTTTGGTTTTGTTAAGTTTGGTTTGTAATACTAATACTTAATTGGTGATATAAACAAATAAGGTAGCTAATGGCGTGCCACGTTAGATGACAAATCAAGGCATAAAAAAATTAACAAATTTGGCAGCCACTCTGGTCTAGGCTAACGATCATTAGTGCTATTTACTCTATTTTTCAGCTGTTGTGCTGAAAATAGAAAGTGTCTCGACTTCATTTCTTAATCAATTTCAACGTTCCATAAACTGTTGGATTACTCCAGATGTCTAGTTTTTAACCCAATTGATTTCACCTGCAAATTTTATCTGTAGTGCCTATTGTAGCCAATTTAGTGGAGTAAGGTCACATGAGCCATAGTATTAGGACTAAGATGAGCTCTAAGTTGCTTTTTATGATCTAATCACTCTATTTGAGTGTTGTTTGAGTATTATTAAATTGTGAAAACAACAATGTCATTATTTTTTCTTGTGTTATAGAGTTATTCATGATGAAGTAGAGTCATAGAAGTTTAGAGTGTTACATTAATGGCCCAACATCAATAGATCGGTTGATAACTATTCAACATTAATATCTTATAGTAGCTTCAAATTTTATTCTAACCTATTGAACATTTCAACTTATAAAATTAAACATGTTAAATATTTTATTTGACCCATTGAACACCTTAACTTATAAAATTAGATCGATTAAACGCTTATGGAATGCTTGAAAAATATAAAAATTATAGTATATATTATACTACTTATCGATAAATTGCCAATGTTCTCAAAAATATTTTCTTTTAGATGGATGTTTTTTTCTTACAAATCAAAAAGGAGGAAGAGGAGGAGGACATTATCCAAAATGATTAAGCAAGCTGAGGGCAAGACAGCAACAGCAGCATACGTCGAGGCGCAATTTGTGATGGAAAAATCATTTAAAAGACACCGACTATGTCAAAGCCATGAAAATTGACATTTTTTGCAACTTTAAATCATTAAGAATAACTCCAACTTTAAGGGTAATTTTAATTATACTATAAATTTAACTTTTTCTTCTAGTATTTTGAAATTCAATTTTAATTACAATAACACTCTATTTTCAAAATGTACCCAATGTTAAAATAAAAAATAATATATTCATCTTAAAAATAAAATATTATTTATTTATATAATATTGACAACAAGTAATGATTTCCTAAAAATAAAATTATATCATAATGAATAAAGTCTATTTTTTAAGAGATATAATTTAAATATAATTTCAATAAACTCTAACTAAATTTCATGCGTAGAAAATGACAAAATAGAAACATAAACTAATATTCTATGCTTATAACTAACTAGAATTTATTGTTTTACTTGGCTTTTATGAATTTTAAAAAAAATTTCTAACCAATATTAGTTAGGATGTTGTTAAATAATGAGTTTTTAGTTAACATGACCATGTAAGTTCAATAAAAATAATGTTTTTATTCATTAAATCGGATATAATTTGAAATTACGGTGCTATTGTAACTAAAATTGAAATTTAAAGTATTAGGAGAAGAAAGTTGGATTTACGATACAATTAAAATTATCCGCATAAGTTGATTTTTTTTTTTTTTAGTAATTTAGCCTTTTTTGTACTATGTATCTCCTTATGCACTGATTACAGCGAAAGCTTAGAAAGATCTAACCTTTTTGCCTTTGACATAGTCAGTGTCTCAATTTTAGGAGGAAAAGTAAAACTTAGAATAAAACCTCTTAGAAGAGAAAAACAAAAACAACTACTTTAATGGTGGTGGTGGGTGTCTATAATGGCACAAATTTAGCAAACATCATAAGCTTGGTGGTGCCTGGACAATAATTGTTACTATTATATACTAATATTTTAATTCTTAGAAAATGTGTTAATCAACTAAAAGAAAAATCATTTTGTTATTTTTCTATGTTTTAAAAACTTGGTGTTTTTGAAGATAAAAAAAAAATTTATTTTTTTTTCTTTTTTCTGAGATGCCAAATGAAAAAATAAAATTTTAATTTATAAATTTTTTTTAGAGAACCGAAGAAAAATAAAAATAACATCAAATCTCCGACTTTTAATCAAATTATACATTTTTTATTTGTACCTTTTTTTTAATCTTATAATTTCATTAAAAAACAAGAAAAACTTAGCAAAAAAATTCATTCTAACTCAGACCAATAGATTCACCGTATACACCCAAACCTAGGATCTTAATGATTAGTGAAAAATTCTGGCAAATAAGAAACATCAAATGGTAAAACATCATTAAAAAAATAAGGAGGATCCTTCCAAAGTGTGGGACAAGCAAAAAAGATAGCAATCCGAGCTAAGGAATAGGCCACCATATTAGCTGGCCGACGAATCCATTTGGCCTTAAAATCGATGCCTTCACTCAATAAAAGTTGACAATCCTAAATAATGTTACCATACTCATTATTAGGAATATTATTAGAAATAGTACCCAACCAAACTTCCCTACAATCCATCTCCAAATGAACATGGATGAATTGTGTGGGTCCCGAATATATATGGCACAACCCAAGAGGGGGTGAATTGGATTTTCTAAAAACTGAAATAAATTTTAGAAATTCTAAACAAGAATTGGATTTTCTAAAAACTGAAATTAAATTTTAGAAATTTCTAAAACAAGAATTAGAATTTAAGCCACAGCGGAAAAACACACAGGAAACTTTGTGAGAATAGGAATATGGGATTAGAATATCCTCACAATGTTTTCTAATTATAAAAAGATTAGAAAGATTGTTAGCGAAGTGCAGCTATTGGATTAGAAACAAGCTTCTCACTGACTTATATACTATCAGAAACTTCTTTATCTTCTTTATGAAGGAAAGTTATCGATATTAAAACTTCCTCATAAAGTTTGAAAAACCACATATAAAGCTATGTGAAAGACAGTTATTAAATTCAGAACTTCTTCACAGAGTCTTAATCAATTATCAGAAATAACTTTATGATGGAAAGTTATTAGGATTAGAACATCCTCATAAAGTTTAGAAAATAAATAAGAAACCCAATCATTGAATAATACTGGGAATAGAGCAACAGTTAGAACATTGTATATTCACTTTATTAGAATACCAGAGTTCTAATGTTCAGAATAGATAAGATTTATTACCGTTTTAGAACATTTGAATCATTAACAATTTTAGCGTTTCTAAAGATTAAACAAAAGTGATATAGAGACAGTATCAAACAAACTTCAGAAATAAAGAGATCAACACCGCAACACAGAGATTTATAGTGGTTCACAGCGACTTAACTCGCCATACATCCACTCCCCAAGACGCAATCTTGAGATCCTCAACTATGTTTCATCTCTTTTCAAGGTAAAGGAGACAAACCAACAGTACAAGCAAATAGATTCAACACCTAGATCTTACCCTTTTGTCCCACTAGATTTTTCCAAAGGTTCTAGATAAACCTCAAACCCCTTTTCTGGTTTTTTTTTGTGGCAGAGTACAGAAAACTCATTTCAAGACATAACTATCCCACACATGAGGAAGGTCGCTTTGATAACCTCTATCACAATAGCTTCTAACCTAGCTATTATACACAAAAGTTTTAACAAATAAAGAGCCTGTCTACTATAGAATACAGATTCTAAATAGACAGAGAGAAAGACGCCTATATAAGGCACTAGAAAAACAGTTTTATTCAGATTAGAAGATCGATTAAACACAGAACTGTTTTTTCAAATGTAACTGTAAAAATTCCTTTTTCTTCTTTAAATTATGAAAACGTTAAGGTATAGAGATGAAAAGAAAAATGGCGGGTAGAGTTTAAGTTTTGAGAGAAAAGGATTCGTTCAATGAGAGAGAGAGTCTCTTTAAAACAATACTCTTACTTCACCCAAAATTTCAAGGCGTGATATGGATCCTTTATATAGGGAAACAAAGGAGCTGTCACCCTTTTGGAAAGAGAATCAGAATATCTTCTTCCTTATTTAGAAGATATGAAAATCTTTGTTACCAAAAATTATTTTATCCCTTTTTGGTAAGAAAATAAAACCCGATTTTCACTTTTCTTTAGAAAAGATTTTCGACAGCGTTTATTTTGGGAAGGATATTTTTGTGGAAGGATATTCTTACTAAAACCGAAGAGATTCTCTTTCGTTTTTAAGGAAGGAAAATAACTTTAAGTGTATTAGATCTTTCAAAAATATATTTCCGAAAAGAGAGTGATTTGTATTACCAAAAACATTAAGAGAAGAAATCTCTTTAGTTTTAGGAAA